CTCTGCTTAATGTCTTGCATTTATTGTTCGCAGTACGAGAGGTGTAAAAGTAAATACCACCTGTTTGATCGTGTGGCAAAATTCCGATGCTTCCCACTAAACAAAATGTGTCATTGAACGCACCCTGAGATCACTTCCTCTCTCTGCAGTGTTTATTATTTTGTGGATACTTAACCACACAGTTACACATTTACTAAAACACAAATGTAGGTGCGTTGTGTCACTACCATTTTTTTGAATGAATATGACTTTTATGAATCTTTAGGACTGAAAAACTCCATATTACAACATTTAAAAAAAAATCGTACTCCTAAATATTAACGTGGCATAGCCTATTGCAGCTACTTGAGGTAAGATGAATGTTAAATGTTTTGATTTGAAGCATTAAAAATGGAAACGTGCTCATTTCAGCGTGCTTTAGGAGCAGAGCCATGTGGAAAATAGTGGAGGCACCTGTTAATAAGTAAATTATGAAATGAATGAAAGCAAAAACGTGTTATGGGCATGCAGTTTAATGCCTGAGCGGTTTATTCCTCACTGTCTTCATGATCTCAGCTTACCTCAGTGTCTATTTGACCAGAAGCCGAGTCAATCACACACATAGCCATAGGGCGCATCTTTTTCTTTATTTGATGAAAAGCATTTAAAAAGTGATTGCCTTGCAACTCATTAACTCACAAACTCCCTCGTACTTATGTATTGAGTTTCAGATTTGTCCACAGGGAGGAGCTGTTCGGTTATTGTCTTGATAACCTCCAACATCTGGAGGGAAAAGAGGAACAGCTTCAGCACTTTAGACTTATGATCCTAGAACTGAAGTAATTCAACATTTCTTAAATGCAAACTGAGACAGCACATGTATTTTAGTGCAAGATAAATTGATTTGACTGTGCAAAGAAACGTGAACATAAACAAAATGGCTGAATATGATACAAATTATTATGTTAATTTTCTCAACTTGTATTTTATTCATAATCATATCAGTTATTTTGAGAAGCTCATTTATCTATGCAGTGGTGTAGTGGGGATTTTTTTACTGGGTGGACGGGGTGGTGGGTGGACGGGAGACATATGGACGGCTGTGACTGTCAACGGGGGGGGTCTTGGGGGACTTGTGTCGCCTGTCGCGCCAACTTACATCGATCCGTTTAGACAATATACATAATAAGGCGTGCCGGTGTCAGCGAGCTCGGTTTTGCCGATATCCAGTTCAAATGCGCGACATAGTCTCAAATGTGTGGGACACAATAATAACAAATGCATGCTGTGGTTGCAGTCCCGCACAGTGCGGGACTACTGGTCCACCCTACACACACGCGTTCTGCCGCTCACACACACACGCGTTCCAAATCAAAGTTGCATAAATGCTTGAGCTACGTTTTGTATTATATTACTGGTGAAATCTGCTATTATGTTTCCGTATTATTACAACAAATACACTTGAATATAAATGCATGATTTTAGATGTAATTAGACTATTCAAAAAAAGAAATCATGCTTCCCAAATAAGTGGGGGTACGAGCGTACATGCCCCCTATGTATGGCAAAATCTAACCATACAAGGAATTTGCTTGTTATTCTGATACGTTTTGCAAAATCAAGCGTCATACAGAATACAAGAAGTCATAAGATACC